CCTTTTTAAGGCGACAAACAATGTGAAGATACTCCCCCTGAGCAACAAACCCAGGTGGTTGCTCCATATAAACCTCTTCTGCTAAGTCACCATGCAAAAAGGCATTTTTAATGTCTAACTGAAAGAGAGGCCAATGTCTATTAGTAGCAAGAGAAATCAAAACACGAATTGAAGAAATCTTACCAATAGGGGCAAACATCTCATCATGGTCAATACCGTAAGTCTGGGTATAACCTTTGGCAACAAGACGAGCTTTTAAACACTCAACGGACCCATCTGGAAGATACTTCACAGTGTATACCCAACGACAACCAACCGGTTTGACACCTGAGGTAATGGAACAAGATTCCACGTGCCATCCTGATGCAAAGCATCCATTTCATCTTGCATTGCTTTCCTCCAGCCCGAATCAGACAAAGCATCCTGCACAGTCTTAGGAACAAATGTAGTAGACAACTGAGTGGAAAAACATGAGCAGAATGGCGATAAGGAATTATAAGAGACATAATGAGCAATGGGATGATTAGTGACAAACGAGCAAGTACCTTTACGAAGTGCAATAGGCAAGGAATCAGATAATGGATTGTGTTGGATCCAAAGACTCCGAAGACGATGGAGGAGGCACAACAGCAGATGGCTTTGGTCTTCGAGTGTACACCTGTAACGGGGCAGGCAAAGGAGATCTAGGTTGAAGAGAAAGTGAGGGAAGAGGAACGGTAGGAAGAGGCGACTCAGGAGTAATATCAAGAATTGAATCACCATCTGAAAAATATGGGATGGACTCACGAAAGGTCACATCCGCGCTAATAAAGTACCGTTGAGAAACAGGACTATAGCAGCAATAACCTTTGTGAGAACGAGAGTATCCAATAAATACACACTTTGTGGCACTTGGGTCAAGTTTATCAAAAACCAGGACTAAGATTGTGTACATAACATATACATCCAAAAACTGTAGGAGTAAGAGAAAACAAAGGAGAATCAGGAAATAAAATAGAATGTGGAGATTTGCCATCTAATATAGATGACGGCATATAGTTAATAAGATGATAGGCAGTAAGAATAGCATCACCCCAAAATCGTTTAGGCATGCGCATATGAAACAAAAGAGCACGGGTTACATCTAAGAGGTGTCGATTCTTACGTTGATAAGTTCTGCAACTCCATTTTGTTGAGGAGTATAAACGCATGAATTTTGATGAATAATTCCTTTATCACTAAGGTATGTATCAAAGGGGGTTGAAGAATATTCCTTAGCATTATCAGAACGTAGAATAAGAATTGGGCATCCAAATTGAGTTTTGATTTCTTTTCGAAATTTTTGAAAAATTAAAAATAACTCGGAACGATATTTCATCAGAAACAACCAAGTCAGGTGAGAATAATCATCCACAAATGTCACAAAATAATGAAATTTATTGATTGAAGAATGCTTTATTGGACCCCATACATCTGAATGAACCAAATGGAAAGGACTAGAGACACGATTACTAACCCTAGACTTGAAAGACACGCGATGGTGCTTACTAAGTTGACAAACTTCACATGACAAGAATTTCAAATGACTAAAACTGGGAACTTGACGCTACAAAACTTGAAGTGATGGGTGACCAAGACGACAGTGCCACTGGAATGGAGACAGAGAAGACTGAAGAGCCACATGATACGGTGCCAAATCAAAGTAATATAAGTCACCAGCTTCATACACCGTACCAATCTTCTTCTTCGTCTTGAGATCTTGAAACACACAAAAAGTAGGATAAAATGTAACAGAGCACTGAAGAGATTTAGTAAGCTTACTGATAGACATTAAATTAAAGGGAAACTGAGGAACATATAAAACAGACGAGAGAGACAAGGAATCACTAAGTTGAGTTGTCCCCAATCCTGAAACTTTAGTGGATGAACCATTAGCAAGGGTAACTCTTTGAGAAGGAGGTAAAAAATTAAAATCAGATAGAAGAGAAGAACATCAAGTCATATGATCGGATGCTCCAGTGTCTATGATCCAAGGACTGCGAGTGGAAGACAATAGACATGTGTGTGTAGTACTTGACTGGGCAAAGGTAGTCGTGGAAGATGAATATATGCTTGCTAATAAGACAAAAACTTAGTATACTCATCACGTGGAACAGGGACCGAATCTGATTCAGCTACGTTGTGAGATCCAGAAGCGACATCATTCGGAGAGGAGGAAACTTGATTTGCATAACTAGATGGTTTGCCATGAAGGTCCCAACAAAAATTCACAGTATGATTAGAAAGGCCATAATGAGTACATTTTCGTGATTCCTTGCCACAGCCACAGCCACGGCCACGTCCTCCCCATGAATCACGACTGCCACAGTAAGCATTATTTTCACCCTTTGAAACTATCAATGCTGAACGCTCACCACTCTGCCCAGTATTCAAAGTTAGGTATCACTTACAAGTGTAGTGCGCTGAAGTCGAGAAAACACATCAGCAAGAGATGGGAGTGTGGGACTGCCCATAATCTGTGAATGAAAAGACTCGTATGCTGATGACAAACCAGTAAGAAAACGGACAACATTAAAGTCCTTATGTTGTTGCGTACTTCGAACATCAGCAGTAATGGGCTGATACATATTAAGCTCCTCACAGACTCCCATAACTTTGGAATAATATTCTTCTATACTGTGATGACATTGTTTAAGATTGAAGTACTGCTTACAGAGCTCATAAACACGAGTGATATTACTTGTCCCAGAATACAGTTGCTGCAATCTGTCCCATATCTCCTTGGCAGTATCCAAATAAAGTAAAGTTGAACTGATTTGGGGTTCAATACTGTTTATCATCACAGAGATGATCTGAGCATCTTCCTTTTCCCATACATCAAAAGAAGCATCAGTTTCCTTGAGTTTCTCTTTAGTCAGTTGAGTACCAAGGCCTCTACCTTTGAGAAATTTTTTAACAGATTTAGCCCACAATATGTAATTCTTCCCATTGAGTTTAGCTGAAGTCATGGGAAAATGAAGACCGGATGTGGGAGAAAACAAATCTGAACTGGACGCCATGTTGAACCCAGCAAAACAGAGAAGAAAAAGAAGCAGAATTTGTATTTTGGCTGAACGTGGTTAACAGGCAGGATCTGGGCTATCTCAAGTTTAGTAAACCAGGGTTGGAATAGCTATCCCAGGTTTAGTAAACCAGGATTGGAATAGCATAATCATGTAGCCAAACACGGGTCTTCTTCTTCACACCTTCACAAACGCCGGTGAACAAAGCAGCGGAGATAATGGCGACCCAGTCACAAGCAACGACCGAATCAATAGGCAGCTACCTTTGCAACTTCCGGCCAAAAAAAAGGCGAATCGATGAACCTCACCTCTGTAAATCAAGACGGCAGATGTCGGCGAGCTCACTGACAACCAAAAAGAAGCTGCCGGCAATGACGATGACGAACAATGCAGATCTGACGACGACAAATGACGATGCAGATCTGATGACGGTGAACGAGGAGCTGCCGGTGACGAACAAAGAAAGCAGGGACACCTGCACCACGATCGCGATTCCGATCGTGATTCCGATCTTAAACAACACAATTACAGACCCTCACACCCATGAATTCCTGTAGCTCTGATACAATGTTCAAAAGCATAAGAGAGAGAGAGAGAGAGAGAGAGAACTTGTATACTCCCTCTGTCCCTTATTAGTAGTCCATTTTTCTCTTTTTACATGTCCCAAATTAGTTGTCTTCTTTGAAAAGTCAAAGCATCTTTTCTTTATATTTCCATCATTGTCCTTTATCTTTTTAAAAAATTTCAAACTTTGTAGCTATATATATTTAAATTAAAAAGGACAATTTGGTAATTTTAAAAGGGGACAATGCATTAATTGTATGTCCCCTTAAAAAGTTATAAAACCAAAGATGGACAACTAATAAGGGATGGAGGTAGTATATATTTTTCACACACTCAACCTAATAAGCCTATGTCGGCTTATATAAAGGATATAAGTCAACTAAATTACACAAGGGCCCTACCAACTATATGTAATTTCATAATGGCCCAACATATATATATATATATATATATATATATATATATAACATTCTAACAGTCCCAAAGTTTAATTAGTTACTACCCAAAAACCAGAATGACTCTTTGACTTTTTTTCTTCAAGGCACTTCCCAAAGCACCATTAATGATTTGCGTCAGTGTTTAAGCCTCATCCAAGCTTTTACATATTCTTATTCTCATTCAAGCCTTTTACACATTTCTCTTTTATTCCTTCTATCTTGTATTTCTTCTTTGCCCAAGTATTTTATGAAGTTGGCAATGTAGTGGTTCCATTTCCATGCATTTCATTCAAACACTAGTTACTGATTATTCATCTTTCTTTTGGAATTGATTAACATTTTATAGGGCTTTTTTTTTTTTTTTTTTTTTAATTATTATTTCTTTCTATTTTTCTCTTTCTTTCTTTCTCACTTGAACTTGTGTGTTGTAAGCATGCTGTCATTGAGTAAATTATGTCGTTTTCATGCTTACTGAAAAAAGGATTTATAAGTCATTTATCGTCATTTCAAGTTTATATCTGAATGTTTTCAATGAATGTGTATGCTCTCATGGTGCTGAGTGAGATATTTGATGCTAGTTTAGTGCACCATGTAAATTATTTCTTTCCAGCTGGAAGTAGCTGTTGAATTGTTTTTTGCTATTCTCCAAAAAATGTTTTTTTTTTTTTTTTTTTTTTTTGTTTAAAAAAAAAACTCAAGGAGTTTGGAATTATTTGTCTTTTTGTTTCTAGGATAATATTTTGTTTTAGTGACTAAATGGCCGATTTTGAAATGCATTCTTGCAATATTCACCCTTAAGGTCCTCTTCAATGTCTTCTCTATGAATCATATTTGGCAAATTTTACCTTTCCGATCGCATGGCTGGTCCTATGCTTCACAGGTTTTTAAAGTATCATATATGGATTTTTAATTGTATTAATAACTACACTAGGTTGTTTAAATTTGTTCTTCTTGGCAGGCAAATACAAGTGTTGCGAGATCACTTGGAACATATTTCTTATCACAAATTTCAATGATCTTTTTGGACATGCTGAATGTGTACCGGTAAAATTCATATTACAAATTTGATTAAAAAATTTCAGCCATGGAACTTCCCTATTGTTTTCTTCCCTGAAATTTTGATCTTGTCATCTGAGAAATTAGTTTCCAATTGCTACTTGTCAACATGATATTGTAATTTATATGAATTTTTGTTGATTGCCAACAGAATGTATAGTGAGCTTGTATCAACCAGTATTGCAGGAGGAGGACCTTTTGCTTCTAAATCATCTTTTGTCAAACTTTTGCGGTATGATCTAATTTGAGATTTTTGTTTTCATCTTGATTTATTTTATATGCATTCTTATTTTTTTTTTTTTATGCTCTAAACAGCTCAGTGAAGAGGGAAACCCTGAAGCTCATTGAAACATTCTTAGACAAGGCTGAAGATCAGCCACAAATTGGAAAACAATTTGTGCCCCCAATGATGGATCCAGTTCTGGGTGACTATGCTAGGAATGTGCCTGATGCGAGAGAATCAGAAGTGTTGTCACTTTTTGCCACAATAATAAATAAGTATGATATCTGTTTCTTATTACATTTTCTGTACAACTTTTTTTTCTTCAACTATTGATAGTGGCAATTGCAAATAAAACTATTTATTTTAGCTCACAAGATAGTAAACAATGTTAAATGTCATAAATTTTCAAGTTCTTGTATATTAATTTGTGCTTGTTGACCCCAATATTAAATGTTGTGATGCAATGAAGCTACCTTTGATAATACCTGTGAGAAGAACACTACCATAACACTAGGCTTTGATGAAAAGTTAGGGCAAGGCCGGTGACGTAGACCTAGTGGGTGAATACGCATTGAAAGCTTAGTTAACTTTAACTAATTTTGAAACTTCAACTATTTTTTTATACTTTAACTAAAATACCAATAATTTAAAATTTAGAGTAACACAATAAATATTAAACCACTTATCATCATGCAATAAACATATAGTCAGACCCAAGGTGCAATAAGGCGCTAGAGGTCCTTTGGAGCCTAGGTGCAAAGCAAGGCGCGCACCTGAGTGAAGCAAGGCGCACAATTTTAAAATTAAATTACTATTAGAGCATGCATATTCCATATTAAAGGTGCAATTGTTGTCCAACACACAACAGGCACAAGTGTCACGCTTGTATGAGCATAAAGCCTACTCACGGCCAGGTGTGCCTTTGATAACATTGCATATAGTAAAAAAAATAAAAAAATTTGGTAAGAGCGCTTAATTCTCTAACGTATCCTCCCTCAAGTTGTTGATAAATGAGATTGTTTAACTGATATCGAGATTTTCTGTTGTTTGTGAATTTAGGTGTTGTTTGATAATCCAATTTAGCACTTAATTCTGAATGTATTTGTTGAAATATCTTTATTATTATTATTATTTTTATTTTTGTTAGTTGTTTTTAGCCTTTTATTAGGTGTTTTATGTAAGATCCCTATAATCATGGGATCACGTAGATAAGATCCCCGTAATCAGGGAATCACATCGATAAGATCCCCATAATCGGGATCACATAGATTTTGCCATATTTCATGTTCTTCTTTGATTTGATTTCCTTTCTTTGTACCCTTTTCTTGTATATAAATATAGCTCTTACTCTCGGTTTGAGTAAGCCAAAACCCAAAAGTTCTTGTTTTTTGTATTAGAGCAAAACAAAAAAACCTTCGCCTCCTCATCTTCCTTCCCCAACGACGCCACATTCTCTCTCCCTCCCTCCTCTTTCCTTCACCTCCGGCCCACCTCCATCTCCTCCCAGCCCTTGACTCATTTTTTAGGAGAATTCCCTTTGGTTTTTTACGACCAAGGGTCCTTTCGGTTTCTCCCCTTTGTGGGCTGTTGGTGTTTGTTCGACAGCATATTTGGAGGAAAGCGCTGATTTTTCCAGCCTTGTTTTTCTCTTTCCTCCCTCTTTGATGTGTCGACCAACCTTATTTTGGTACTATGAGTGAGTTTAGTAACCAAAAGGACACTTTATCTTCGGCACAACATACTCTGGCGCAGTGGGTTACTAGTGTGCTCTTAAATGGGCATAACTTCGTATCTTTGTCCCGTTCTCTTCAACTCTATAATGGAGGGAAAGGGAAACTAGTTGGCTTTTGGGTCGCGTCAAGGAATCGGAAAAGACGGATACTAAATATATTGCATGGGACATGGATAGATGCACCATTCTGGATTGGATCTTCAACTCAATGGAGGAGCATATCTATAATATGTTTATGTTTCACGCTTTCGTTTTTCGTGAATGGCAAGCCCTTAACAAGATGTATGCTCACTCCCACAATGACGCTTGTATCTTTGAACTTTATCATGAGATTGCTCATGCATCTCAGGAGACACTGTAGCTGTTAGTATCAGAGAATTTTGGGTACCTCCAATCTAGGTGGAAAGAATTAGCACAGTATGAACCTCTCTCCGATTTTGGTCAAGAGAATGGACCGCCAACATTCCTACCAGTTTTTGATGGGTTTACGATATGTGTATGATGCTCTTAGAACTCATCATAAACACCTTTCCTATGCCTAATTTATACGATGCTTTCACTACTGTTGACCAGAAAGAGCATAGACGTCAGATCTCTCGGCCAATAGCTTTACCAGAGACTCCTGTTAATCAGATGGCTCTTGTTGCTAATTCTAGACTTTCAGAGGGAAAGGTTATTTGTCAATATTGTGGAGTCACGAGTCATGTAAAGGATCGTTGCTTTAAGCTTCATCCCGAGCTAAAGCCGAAATTTTCTCGCAATTGTCCTTCTGGCCGCACTGCTGTTGTAGCCGATACAATGGGTGGGTATTCTACTCCACAGATTGTTATCCCTCTTGCTTCAACCCCCTTAGATCATCTTTTCAGGACTTCAATTAGTTACAGTCCCAGATTGGTCAGCTTTAGCAGCAGTACAAAACTTTATCTATCAGGGCTGGCTCTTTTACTCCCATGGCTACTATAGTTATAGGTACTCCTGCTTTTCATGTTAAAGCGGGAAATCCTACTAATGAGCACATGACTGGTGAGTTGTCATTATTTTCTACTCCCGTTACCCCTATTAATCAGGCTGTTAGTCTAGCTGATGGGTCAACCATCATTATTCGTAGTAAAGGAGATGTTTATCTATCTCCTGATATTATTTTGCCATCTATTCCTAACTTTGTGTTTAATCTTCTAACTGTTAGCAAACTTGCCAAATCATTAAATTGTGTAGTGGTTTTCTTTTCTCATTATTGTGTTTTCCATTACCTGTATTCGGTGCGGATTTTTTACAGATGGCCTCTACTACTTTAGGGATCTTCCACCGACACCTCCTCCACTTGCTTCAAGCCTTTGTTCTTCCAGTTTCTAGGTCTTATGATTTTTATTTTCAGACTTTAAATTTATGGCATGCTCGACTTAGGCATGTAAACTTTAGTATTTATGTTTGCTTTTCCCTTTATTAATAAAGGCTTGTAAGGATAATAAGTTTCAATGTGAGATTTGTCAGCTTTCTAAACATACTAGAACCAGTTATATTTCTCATATGCATCGTGCACCTAGTATTTTTGATCTCATACATTCTGATGTATGGAGTCCTCCTATTACTGCTTTTTCGGGGCATCGTTATTTTGTCACATTCATTGATGATTATTCACGCTACACATAGGTATATTTACTTAAAAAGAAATCTGATGTTTTTCTTTTGTTTAATCTATTCCTCCAAATGATCAAAACTCAAGATAAAATTGTTGTTAGGAATATTAGGTCTGACAATGGTCGTGAATATGTTTCCAATGAGTTTCGGTCTCAACTTAACCAAAATGTTATTCTTCATTAGCTTACTTGTCTATATACCCCTGAACAGAATGGTGTGGCAGAGCATAAAAGCCGCCAACTAATGTCAGTTGTTCGTTGTTTTTTAAGTGGTATGAATGTGCCAAAGTCATATTGGCACATAGCGATTCTTACAGCTACTTTTCTTATTAATCGTACTCTTAGTAGAGTATTAAATAGTAAGCCCCCTTACAAGTGCTGCAACCTGATATTGCTCTTTCTTCCATCACGCCCCAGGTGTTTTTCATGTATATGTTTTGTTCAGAATCGTAGCCCTTCTAGTACTAACTTAATGACAAGGCCATTAAATGTATTTTTTTTTTTAAGATACTCTTCCATGTCAAAAGGTTACCGATTTTATGATCATGTACACAAACACATGTATCAATCTCTTGATGTCACCTTTCATGAGCATACCCTTTTTTATGGTTCTAACACTATCTTGTAGGAAACTTCTACTCCCGATCAAGAGTCTTCTCCTCTTGCTCGTCCTCTTCCTCTTCCTATTTTTCAAGACAAGTCTTCTCTTCTCTTGTGGTTTCCTCACCCCCTTTGCAGGTCTATTCTCACCGGCCTCGTGCTCCTCCTCCACTGCTTTCATTGAGTCTCGGTATCCCACTCGAGAGTCAGGACCGCAAACCACCTGCTCGATTTGGATTTGCTTATAGTACTGATTATCTTTTTTCGCAGTATATCTCTTATGATGGTCTTACCGAGCCTTTTTAGGCAAACTTGATTCCATTTCCATTCCTCTTGTCTATTCTTCTTGTTTATGTTGATGATATCATCATTACTGGCTATGACATCCCTAGGATTGCTCAAGTAAAGCTTCAATTGGGTAAAGCTTTTGATGTGAAAGACCTTGGGGCAGCTCAGATATTTCTTGGGAATTAAGGTTGCTAGATCTAAGCAGGGTATCTCTTAATTGCAAAGGAAGTATGTCTTGGATCTTCTTAATGACACGGGTATGCTTGGGTGTGAACCTACTTCCACTCCTGTGGATCCTAATCTGAAGATCTTGGTTGGGTCTAGAGATCTCCTTTCTGATCCCTTGCAGTATCAACGCTTGATAGGAAGATTGATTTATCTTAACTACTCCCGTCCTGATTTGGCTTTTGCGGTTAGTGTTGTGAGCTAATTGATGCACGTCCTGGAGTTGGATTATTTTATTCTACTAGCAGGCAGGTTGGGCTATTATGTTTCAGTGATGCAAACTATGTTGGGTCTAAGACTAATAGACGCTCCACATCTGGCTTCTGTACTTTCTATAGAGACCATCTTATATCTCGGAAAAGTAAAAACCAACCTTTAGTTTCGAGATCTTCAGCAGAGGTTGAGTATCGTGCCATGCCTAGGGTATTTGTGAAATTCTCTAGCTTCTATCTTTCTTGGAGGCGCTAGGGCTAAGTGAAAATAGTCCTCAGACTTGTTTTGTGATAATAAGTCAGCCGTCATGCTTGCTTCATATTCTGTTATTCATGAGAGGACTAAACATATAGAGGTGGACATTCATTTTATCAGAGAGAAGGTTCGTTCGGGAATTATCAAGCCGTGCTTTGTTCGGTCCTCTAATTAGTCGGCCGATGTGTTCACCAAATCCGTTGGTCCATCTTTGCTTCATTCCTTGATTCCCAAACTGGGCTTGATTGATATCTTCACTCTAGCTTGAGGGGGAGTGCTGAAGTATCTGTGCTATTATTATTGTTATTATTATTATTATTATTATTTTCCTGAATGGGGTATTTTTATAAATTTTCAAAAGAAGTATTATTTTTAATTTTATTAGCCGTTTTTAGCCTTTATTAGGTATTTTATGTAAAATCCCTATAATCATGGGATCACGTAGATAAGATCCCCGTAATCATGGGCTCACGTAGATAAGATCCCTATAATCATGGATCATGTAGATTTTGGCATATTTCCTTTTTTTTTTTTTTTTTTTTTTTTTTTTTTTTGATAAATATATTTCCTGTTTTTTTTTTTTTTTTTTTTATTATTTGGTTTCCTTTCTTTGTACCCTATTCTTGTATATAAATATAGCTTTTGGCTCTCGGTTTGAGTAAGCCAAAACCCAAAAACTCTTCTTTTGTGGTGATGGAGGAGATCTCATGGAGATAGAAGTTTGGAGCCCTCTGGCTTAAGGAAGGTGATCGGAATACGAAGTTTTTTCATCGAATGGCCAACGCTCACAGAAGATTTAACCACATTGGGAGAATGCGGTTTAATGGAGTTACGATTTCTAGGGATGATGATATCCAGGATAGAGACTGCGAGTTGGAGGCCTCTTCTTGATGGGCATGAGTTTGCAGCAATATTGGAAGGTGATAGAAACTGGCTTGAAATGCTGTTTGTGGAGGAAGAGGTGTTAGCGGCTTTGAGGAGTTGTGATGGGGATAAAGCTCCTGGGCTAAATGGGCTGACTTTAGCTTTCTTTCAATAGAATTGGAAGCTGGTGAAGGCTGAGGTGATGGGGGCAATAAATTTTTTTTTCTTTTCTGCATGGCTCTTTTGAGAAGAGTCTCAATGCTTCTTTCATTACTCTTGTCCCCAAAAAGAGTGGAGCATGTGAGGCAAAGGACTTAAGACCCACTAGTCTTGTTGGGGCAGTTTATAAGATTATTGCGAAAGTCTTAGCCATTTGGTTAAGGAGGATTCTCGATGGGGTGATCTCGGACTCCCAGAATGCTTTTGTTGGAGGGCGTCAAATTCTGGATTTAGTTTTGATTGCTAGTGAATGCATTGATGCAAGGGCGAGAAGTGGTATTCCGGGGATTGTGTGCAAACTGGATATCGAAACGGCCTATGATCATGTTTGTTGGGATTGTTTGTTGTATTTGATGGAGATAATGGTTTTGGGCAGAAGTGGAGGGTGTGGATTCTTTTCTATATTTCAACTGCTTGGTTCTTGGTTTTAGTGAATGGATCCTGAGCTGGTTTCTTTGCCAGTTCTCGTGGCTTGAGGCAGGGGGACCCTCTTTCCCCTTTCTTGTTTATCATTGTCATGGACGCTTTTAGCTGTTGGGGAGGGTGGATCAACTTGGGTTCATTCAGGGATTCTCTGTGGGCAGAGTTCCGAATCAGTTAGTCATCTCCCCCCTGCTCTTTACGGATGACACTATTGTCTTTTGTGATGCTAGCCTTCTTCAGTTTAGGTATTTAAGGTGTGTGTTGGCCTGCTTTCAAGTTGTTTCCGGGTTGAAGGTTAACGTTGGGAAAAGTGAGATTGTCCCAGTCGGTGAGGTGGAGGATGTCTAAGTCTTGGCTGATACTCTGGGGTGTGGTGTTGGCTCTCTCCCGATATCCTACTTTGGACTCCTTTGGGAGTCTCGTCAAGGAGAGTTGGTGTGTGGGATCCGATTGTTGAGAGGTTCAAGAGGAGGTTTGCAAGTTGGAAGAAGCAATATTTGTCAAAATGGGGGAGGGTCACTCTTATGAAAAACATGCTCTCAAATCTCCCGACCTATTTCATGTCGCTCTTTCTGATGCCTAAGTCAGTTATTTGAAAACTTGACGTGATTTAGAGGATGTTTTTGTGGGGCGGGTTAGGAGATGAGTTCAAGTACCACTTGGTTGACTAGGAAAGTGTGTGATCCCTTATTAATAAGAGGGGTATGGTTTTTCGAAGGTTGGATGTGTTTAATAAGGCGTTGTTGGGCAAGTGGTTGTAGAGGTTTGGAAAAGAGAGGACCAAGCTTTGGAGACGCGTTATCGCTTGTCATTATGGGTAGGGAGATGGAGGGTGGCACTCAAACGAGGCTAGAACCCCAGCAGGAATGGGCTCCAGGAAGCTAATATGTAGAGGGTGGGATGAATTGGGATGTGCAGTTCCGTCGACAGTTCCATGATTGGGAACTTTTGGAAGTGTTAGACTTCCTAGCTTTCATTCACAGCAGGTGGTGGTCGGGGTGGGCATGGATGAGATGCTGTGGGTGAGTTCCTCAAGAGGGGTCTTCGAGGTTAAGTCATTCTACAGTTGTATGTTGGAGCGCCTGGGCCCCAATTTTCCTTGGAAGGACATTTGGAGGTCGAAAGCTCCCTTGAAGGTTGCTTTCTTCTCTTGGACCACTGCTTGGGGAAGCATCCTAACTATTGATAATCTTAGAAAAAGAAGTCATGTTGTGGTTAACAGGTGTTGTTTGTGCAAGACAACGGGTGAATCTATCAGCCATCTTCTTATTCATTGCTTGGTGGCTAGGGATGTTTGGTCTATGTTTTTAGGTGCTTTTGGTCTTCCATGGGTGTTCTCAGAATCCACGGTAGACTTGTTAGAGACTTGGAAAGGGCGTACAGTGGAGAGCCGAGTCAGAGATGCTTGGAGGGCCACTCCCCTTTGTATTTGGTGGGGTGTGTGGTGTGAGAGAAATAGAAGATTTTTTGAGGGAGAGGAGTCTCCCATTTGGGCTATGAATTACAGTATTCTTAGTCTATTCTTTTGGGTAAATGGGCGGGACTATAATTCAATGAATTCTCTTTTGGATTTTGTGGATAGCTTAAAGCTATAGTGTCGTCTTGGACGGTTGTTGACTTCTTTGGGAGTGCTCCCCTTTTGAGCGCCTTTTATAAAATCTTATTAAAAAAAAAATTAAGTGAGAGACATCACTTATCACTGAAGACTGAATACTGATAATTCAAAAAGATATTAAAAAATATTCATTTTTTACTTGCCACTTAAAAACTTAAGCACTTAAAATTCAGTTCTTAAAATTTCAGTACTTAATTTTCAGTTTTATCAAACAGATCAACCATGCTCTAGAAGCTGTAAGATGAAGGGCAAAATGGACATATATTTCACTCATGTGACGGTTGATGAATGAAAATAATAGCTATATAATAGTATGTTGCATGCACTCTTAGTAGATGCCTCTCAGTATTTTGATCTTTCTGTGTTTATCCGGTTTTCAGAACTATAGGGGTATTTATAGACAAAATAGAGTTAGAATACCGATTGATTGACACTAGATCAGAAACTCATTATGCATATCAAAAAGTACTTCTCCAGAATTCAATTTGAATCCTATGTAACCCTCATTGATGAATGCATGAACCCTGATTTGGTGAGTGCATACATGAGTGTTTAGCTTTAGTACTATTGGTCTTGAAGATTATCTTTTTGCCATTGATTGTAGATTTAATTCCAAATCTACCGTTGTGCAAGAGGTAACCGACTTACAAAATTCAAACTAAAAACAAAAATAAACATTACTAACTCAAGTTTTGGCACGAATTTTGCAGACCTAAGTATAGTTTTTGCAAACATTTTCTTCTCAGTATAGATTCAGCATGGCCCAACCATTGTGGAGTCGATCACTTTGTGAACTCCTTAATTATTCTCTACTTTAAGCCATTTGTGGGGGGCTTCATATTATTTTTCCTTGCTTCATTTCTAAGCCACCGACTAATGTGCTTGTGAAGTTGGTTGAAAGTCATGGTCCTTTACAATAGTTAGCTGTTTTTTGTTATAAAATTATTATATATTACTATTATTTTTGTCTGTAATGTTTCTATTCTATGTGTAGGTACAAGGCTACAATGATGGAGGATGTGCCCTGCATATTCGAAGCTGTTTTCCAATGTACCCTGGAGGTGTGCATGAAAGCTGCTTAGTTATGGAAGAAATATATATATATATTAATTGCTCATGGTATCATATCAGTTTAATTGTTTCTTTTTATGATTTGATGATGGAAACAGTAATTACATTCTGAAGCCATGCTTAGTTTGGGCCTAAGAATCTTTGTTGTTGGGGACGTCGTGAGAGATTAAAATCCTTTAAAATAATTTTAAAATGTTATACATGTATATGTATTGAAAAGTAAGTTGAATGGTTATATTAACCATGAAATGGTTTTGCTATATGTGGGTTCTCTTAGGGGAAGTAGATATCGGAGGTCTTACATGTAGGACCGGGAGGTTTCAGTAGACAAAGTTCGGTGGAATTGAAGTCTATTTTAAGAGAACGAAAGAGAGTGGCGATTGAGAGGTCAACAGGGACTCCCGAGCTCACCCTTATGCTATGGATTTGGTCTTAATTTTAGAGAGATCAACGTATCTAATTGCTTCTAAAGCCTCTTTTGAAGGGGTAGTTGAAAATGGTTGGACTCTTTTGTGCCAGGAAGTCTGTTTTATTTGGTGTGAGGAGGTGGAGGTTGATCTATCTTGTATTGATTAGGACAAATAGTGGCTACTTTTGGGAGGATCTTTGGTGTGGTGACAGGACTCTGGGGTGTGCCTTTTTGAGACTCTTCAGGATTGTCATTGATAGACAGGCCTTCGTTGTCGATTGTTATCAGCTTGATAGCACCAGGATGACCTGGGATGTGCGTTTTGTGAGGCGGAGTTGGAGGATGCCTTAGATTTCTTGCTTTGTTGTACAATCAGGATGTGGTTGGGGATGGGCCTGACTCATGGGTGTGGGACGCTCTCGTCACTGGGGATGTTTGGTTGCAAAGAGTCTTTGCTTCCCTTGAAAGGCCGTATTGTGCACGAAGGCTCTTCTCAAGGTTTCTTTGCTTGGACAATAGTTTTGGGGAGGATCCCAACATTGGCTAAACCTGAGGAGAAGGCAGGTCATTGTGAACTTGTGTTGTATGTGCAAGTGAGATCAGAAAATAGTAGATCATTTTCTATTGCTATGAGGCTTTCCTTCCTTTGCTTCAAACCCAGGCAGTTTGGGATGCAATACAAGTTGAGCCCGCTTATCGAGAGGTTTGTTAGTGGGGGAGACTAATTTAGTAGCACAGTTGACCTCACGAAGATGTCATACTACAAGGTTGCTGAACAGTTGAATTTGATGTGAGTTGACGTAGGATCTCTAACTGCGGCCTGTAAAATGGTAGAATGCATGGTGGTGACCGTGGTGGAGATGTGGATTTCAACAGGGTGAGTGAAGATCATTCTCATTTAGATTGCCAAGTTTTGTGCTGCAGGAGGGCATGTAGACTTCTATGAAGATGTTTCCAGTTTGCCACTACACACTATAATTTATATGATGTATTTTTGGTAAAATAAGATTTACCAGTTTGGCTACTTTTTACCTTAATATCTCACACTATGGACTAAGTTGGCAGATTTTGTTGATCAAAACGTTGTTTTTGTACTTTTGTTTTGATTTCTAGTTTTGTTATGAATTGTTAAAAGTGATTTAAGTGTAGATGCATCCTAGTTGAAGATAAACTACATGCTACAACAAAGGTCGAAATGGTAATCTTGATCAACAAGGGTAAAAGGGTAATTGTACACTGATGCAAACTCACCAAAACTAGGTACATGCATTGCATATTTATGTATCTTAATTTTAAAGTTCTAAACTTATTTTGATTCTAAATATGTTTGATTGTCCATGGTTTTTTAATATACGAAAATTGCATTTCTAAGTATAAAATTTGTAGGGGGTTCAATCCATCGAGATGTTGATTCAAAGCTTTCTGGATTGATTGACAGGTTCGATATATATTGCAGAGTTAAGAGAGATGTATAAGAGTTTGAGTTTTTATACACAAGTTTGTTTGTTTTTTGTTTTCCTAGTTGGTATTCACACCCCCTCCCCCCTCCAAGGAATTGTTTGCACCTAGCAAGAATCAATCATGAGACCTGATGCTTCACCAGGGCCCAAGTCTTTTCCAACTAGGCCAACCCCTTGGGGTTTTTTTTACACATGTTTGTGTTCTCTTTACATCATATATACATATTTTTGAGAGAAAATTCTTGTGAGATTTTTTGTCTATATTTACATTCATCAATCATCATCATGTTTAGCGTTGATGAGTGCTGTTACATGTGTTAGAACATCCATTGTTGCGCACTCAATTTTAATCAACACATTCGTTCAGTCCCTAACCAGATTGACAACTCAATGATTAGCGGCTTTGACCAATCACTAAAGCAGGTTTGTTAGGAGTTGAAGGCAACTGTTCAAAGACTATATCGGAGTTATATTTTAATTGCTTTTTCCTTCATCTCTTGGAACCTATCAACTTAAGACTTCCTTTTTATTTTCCTCTCTAGTAATGCCTCCTTTTCTAGCTTTAGCTTCTTTTGGTTCATATATTTCTTTGAGTTGAAAAGTGCCATTGTTTTCCTCCCAAGATGCACTTCCCTCTCCTTTCTTGGCTTCCTTCGAATTGATTTCTTCATTGGCTTGGACTGTACCTACCTTAACCTCAATTTCCTTATTTACATCATCCGCTTTGGATAGGCGTGAAAAGAGGGTTTCCAATATGTTAGTGTCACTAGACATTCTTTGGTTCATTAGAAACTAGGGCCACATGATGAGGCCTCTTGCTACTCAGTTTTGGGGGCTATGGTGCTTTATTTTGGATCTTTCCATTCCTTATTTGTTTATTTATTTTTTTGCGGATGGTATGGCGTTATGCGAAGCTATGGAGTGGTAGGGGAACAGTTTGAACATTGCCCAAAAGCCTCATAGCTGCTGCCTTTTCTGGTCTTCCAAAGAAGTTTTTTTCTCAAGCGTGTATGATTCAAATTATCTATGATTAAGCTTAAAAGCTTTTGGAATATAGTTGTTAGTTTGGATTTCAACACAAACCTGAACAAATTGAACCTCTTCTTAGATCAGGTTTATTTGTCAAGATACAAGGACCAATTAAGATCAGGTTTTTTACATAAGATACAATTGAGTGCCAATTCACTTGCAATGTGGCTTAAGGCCATCCCAAATCCGTGGCTCCAAGGCAACATTGCAAGGATTAATAATTTTTCTGCTAAAGTAATAGGGGTGCTGTAAAAAATCATCTCAAAAGCATGGTAACTCTTGATGTTAAACATGTGAAATCCATTGTCAATGGTTATAACAAGATAATGACCCGTTTCCCAATACCTTTGGAAAAGTTTTCGAGGAACATCCACCATGGAATCCCTCTACCCAGGATCAACACTATAGGCTCCAAGTGTAGGCTTGGGAGTATAGTCCTTTTCGGTTTCTATAAAGAAAAAAATTCATGGAATTGGGGCCTTTTTGAACTTTGTGTAGCCTTTCTGGTCAGATATGTTCAGCCTGTCGGGAACCTAATATCTTCCCATATTTGTTTCTTGATATATCATGTTCTTATGTGTTTGGTTTTACTGATACATTATTGTGATACTTAAACAACTTGGAATTGGCTACTGGCTTTAGATATTGATCAGTCTCCACTTATATCTTTATTTATTGAGTATTGTATCGGTACCAAACAAAACTTTAAAACTTGCATGTCTTCTTCTAGTTTCCTGATTGTCATATATGCTTGGTTTATTTTATGCAGATGATTACGAAGAACTTTGAAGATTACCCTGAGCATCGCCTCAAGTTCTTTTCATTACTTCGTGCCATTGCTATGCATTGTTTTCCTGCTTTGATAAAGTTGTCGAGTCAGGTTACATTTTATGTCCCTTAACGTGTCATTGTTCAATCTCAAAGTTTTTTGAATTTGCTACATATGGAACGAATAGTCTGTCATATGATCATATATTTGTTTTTCAAAAATTTTATCTTTCTTTATTTTTATTTAATATTTTTAGTTTCAGCGACCTTATTCTTGTTTCTGATTGTTTCTTGATAATGTACATCAGCAATTAAAGCTTGTCATGGATTCTATTATATGGGCTTTCCGCCACACTGAACGGAACATTGCTGAAACGGGACTAAACCTTTTGCTAGTGATGCTGAAGAACTTTCAGGTGTGATTTGTTATAATGTCTTGACTATGTATTAAATTATACCAAGGGAGGCCTTTATCTCATTGTGGCTTGTTTGGCAGGATTCTGAGTTCTGTAATCAATTCTATAGGCCTTACTTTTTGACAATCGAGCAAGAAATTTTTGCTGTCTTGACAGACACATTTCATAAACCTGGGTTCAAATTGCATGTCTCAGTTCTCCAGCAATTATTTTGTCTGGTAATGCATATCCTTTTGCTTTGTTTGTTTTTAGCTTCATCGCAAAGCAAGTTCATTACAGTTGTGCTGACGCATTTTCAGGCGGAGTCTGGTTCGTTGACAGAGCCTTTGTGGGACGTGTCAACAGTTTCTTACCCATATCCAGACAATGTAGAATTCGTTCGTGAATGCACTGTAAAACTTCTGGGTACATCATTTCCCAACATGACAGCACCTGAGGTAATTAATGAAATTCCTTTATTTTTTTTCTTCTTTTGGGTATACACCCAAATGATGCCCGACTTGGAGCTCAAATTCTCAACCTCCCTTTGGGAAAAAAGGGGGGTCGTCGTCATACCATCTGGGCCAATTGCCTGGTGGTTTATGTTAGGGTTGGCAATTTAACCCCAAACCCATTAAACCGCCCAAGCCCGCCCACTAAAATCAAATCATTTGGGCACCCAAATTTAAGTGAGTGGGTCAATAGTATGGGTAAAAAGTGGGTACGCATTCAATTCAATGGTCAATGGTGGGTACCCATCTTAACCCGCTCAAACAAAACTCTAAGGACACTCACTCATTTTACCCCCTCTTCGTTTCTGTGTTTGCATAATTCTGTAAGAAAAATTACAAATGATATCACTTGAAAACTCTTGATGAATTAATAGCGCTAGGTTTTTTTTTTTTTTTTTTTTTTAATATAATAATAATAAATAAATAAAAATTGCTCATATATGTAGAGCAGCAAGGGTAAGGAATGAATGATATCATCAGCTTTGAGCATTCATAATAGACTACCAAAATTCTGTTTGATGATTTGAATTTTTTCCCTCTTTTTGTTAAGTATTGTATCTTTTTATTCTTTCTCAGATCTATAAAGGCCATTGGATGGCCCAGCAAGTTATGATAGGATAATTAATAATTTTATTTTCATTTAACATGTGACCAATCTGCCAATATATAGTTTTATACATATTATACATATATATATATATAATCAGAACATCTTTGACATGAATATATTATACTTTCTACTGATTGAATTTCATTAACTTTTTACTGATATTTGAATTCGTTTGATTTCAGTATTTCAATTTAATATGGTAGTCAATAAAACCTTGTTTGTCATTTTGAATTTGCTGATAATTGAAGTCAATAATTCCAGTTTGCTAAAGTTAAATGTAGTGCTTTTTTTTGGTTAAAAAAAGGGTTAACCCGTTTATGACCTGCCATCGACGGGTTGATAATGGGTTACTAACCCATTCATAACCAGCCCATTCAAAACCCGCCCAATTGCCACCCCTACTTTATGTACTGAAGTTCTCTTTTAACAAATTCTTTTTTTTTTTTTTTTTTTTTTTCCTTCTGGATATTACTTATTTTATGGAGCTTTTCAGGTGACCCAGTTTGTGAATGGACTCTTTCAGTTCAGAAATGATCTTTCCACATTCAAGAATCATATACGAGACTTTCTTGTGCAATCAAAAGAATTCTCTGCCCAGGTAAAATGAAAGGACTGTCTGATGCTTGCCCTTCCTAATTTGCTTGGACATGCATGTCGCTATTTGATGATAAATAGATTATTTATGTGGAATTTGTTACTCTAATTTTCTTTCAACTTATTATCAGTCGTGGTTAAGCTGAAATTGATTTAGGTAATATCTAAGACATTACTACAAAACCTACCATACGTTTAAACTATATATTCGTAAAATGAGCATGATTGAAATGGAAAGATGTGTAAAAATACAAGAAAGGATTAGATTGGTATTGTTTTGTTCACGAAGCGGTTGAAGTTGCTCTAATTGGAGATACTCCATACTAAAATAGTGTCCTCGTTCCTTTTTGGGATATTCGAGAATAAGCGTCTTTCAAAAAAGTCAATGTTAAAAATTTAGGGCTTGGATGATTATGGTTTAGAGAGAGAAGAATGATACAATGACCAGTGAAGGAACAGTGGATAAAACATGTATGGTCAGAATAGCATCTAACAAACTCCATGGATAGAATTACATCACTAAAACAGCTGAACCAAGCTCTGGGAAATTGTTTTAACCTATACAAAGACTTCCGCAATCAACAGACCCTTCTAGCATACTCTCCCTTAGCCCAAAAACCGGGTGGAGGATCCATGCAAATGGTCTCAAGATGATCACCATTACGGAAAGCATTCTTCACATCAAGGGAGACAAGCAAACGAACTGAAGTGAATTTAGCCACAGGAGCAAAGGTATCATTAAAGTCTTTACTAAAAACCTGAGAAAACCCTTTGGCCACAAAAAGGGCCCTATACGGATTAATAGAGCCATCAACCGGATATTTAACACTGAATACCTATTTGCAACCAACAGTCTTTTCACCGGGAGGGAGAGATACAAGCTCCCATGTTTCATTATGCTGCAAAGTATCCATTTATGCCTTCATAGCAAATATCCAATTTGGATTTCGGAGAGCCTAAGACACATATAGAAATGGAATCAAGTTTGTGTAGGAAGGCTCAGTAAGACTCGGGAAGACCATTATAAGAGATATACTGTGAAATAGGACGATCAGTACTATAAGCAAATCCAAATATAGCAGGGGGTCTACGGTCCAAAGTGGGATACCGAGACTCAGGAACAGGGGTCAGGGAAATGTAAAGGAGAGAGAGGAGATGTACCTAAACCTGTATCTGAGGAGGATGAAGGCATTGGATGCGGAGCACGAGTGCAGCGAGAATAGACCTGCAAAGGGGGTGAGGAAACCATAGGAAACGACTCCTCTTGAAAAATAGGAAGAGGATGAACAAGAGGAGAAACCTTTTGATTAAGAGTAGAAGTTTCCTGGAGGATAGTTATAGAACCATAAAAAGGGGTATGCTCTTAAAAGGTGACATCAAGAGAGTGATACATGTGTTTGTGCACAAGATCATAGCACTGGTAACCTTTTGACATGGAAGAGTTTTTAAAAAAGATATATTTAATGGCATTGTTATCAAGTATGGTATGAGAAGGGCTACGATTCTGAAGAAAACATGTGCATCCAAACACCCGAGGCATAATGGAGAAAAAAGTAATATCAGGCTGAAGCACATGTAAGGGGCCTTACCATTTAATACTCTATTAGGGGTACGATTAATGAGAAAAGTGGCTGTAAGAACTGCCATTTGCCAGGCACATTCATAACACTTAAAAGACATCAAACAGCTGACATTAGTTGGCAGTTTTTAAGCTCTGCCACACCATTCAATTCAGGGGTATATGGACAAGTAAGCTGATGAAGAATACCCTGTTGGTTAAGTTGAGACCGAAATTCATTGGAAACATATTCACGAACTTTGTTAGACCTACTATTCTTAACAACAGTTTTATATTGAGTTTTGATCATTTGGAGGAATTGAGTGAACAAGGGCAAAATTTCAGATTTCTTTTAAAATAAATATACCTATGTGCAACGGGAATAATCACTAATGAATGTGAAATAATAACGATGCCCTGAAAAAACATTAACAGGAGAAAGACCCCACACTTCAGAATGTATAGATAAAACATACTAGGTGCACGATGCATATAAGAAATATAATTGGTTCTATTATGTTTAGAAATTTCACAAATCTCACATTGAAACTTATTATCCTTACAAGCCGTTATTAATGAAGGGAAAAGGAGACATAAATATTGAAGTTTACTTGCCCAATGCGAGCATGCCATAAATTTGAAAGTCTGAAAGGTAAAATCATAAGCCCTATAACAGAGGCTTGAAGCAAGTGGAGGAGGTGTTGGTGGAGGATCCCTAAAGTAGTAGAGGCCATCGTGCTCATATCCCTTGCCAAAAATGCTCTTCGAACACGTCCCGTAAAACACAGTAATGAGGAAAGAAAATCACAGCACAGTTTAGAGATTTGGCAAGTTTGCTAATGGATAGAAGATTAAATGCAAAGTTAGGAATGTGAAGGACAGATGGCAAAATAATATAAAGGGTAGATGAACGTCTCCTTTAGTAGAAATAATGGTGGTTGACCCTTCAACTAGAATAACAGACTGATTAACAGGTGTAGAAAATAATGTCAACTCACTAGTCATGTGATCATTGGCTCCGGAATCCAAAACCCAAGTAAGTTTGCCTGCATTAACAAGAAAAGCAAAAGGAGTACCTGTAGCTATAGTAGCTGTGGGAGTAGAAGAGCCAGCAATGGTTGATAAAGCTCTGAACTGCTTCTGAAGGTGACCAATTTGGGACTGTAACTGACTGAAGTCGTGAAATGATGGTTTGGGAGGAGTTGGAGCAGGAGGAGCAACAATCTTTGGAGTGATGCCCACCAATACTATCAGCTACTGCAGCATTGTGGCCACGGCCAGAAGGATGATTGCGAGAAAATTTCTGCTTTAGCTCGGGGTGAAGCTTAAAGCAGTGATCCTTTACATGACCTGTGGCTCCACAATATTCACAAATAACCTTTCCTCTGAAAGTCTAGAACTAGCAGCAAGAGCCATTTGATCAATTGGAGTCTGTGACTTTGTGGTGAAGCTACTCGATAAATCAGGTATAGGAGAGGTGTTTATGATATGAGTTCTAAGGGTATCATACTCAGATCGTAAACCCATCAAAAACTGGTTGGTATGCTGGCAGTTGCAGCTTCTGCAGAGAAATCAGAGAGATGTTCATACTGTGCTAATTCTTCCCATCTAGACTAGAGGTCTCAAAATACTCTGATACTGACAGCTTGAGTGTCTCCTGAGATGCATTGGCAATCTCCTGATAGAGTCCAAAGATACGAGCAGCATTGCGGGAGTGGGCATACATCTTGTTAAGGGCTTGCCACAAACAAAAAATGAAGTGTGAAACATGAACATTTTATACATACACTCCTCCATTGAGTTGAAGATACAACCCAAAATGGTGCATCTATCTATGTCCCATGCAATACATTTAGTGTCGTCTTTTTCGGTTCCTTAACTAGACCTATAAGCCAACCAGCTTTCCCTTTCCCTCCAAAATAGTGTTGAAGAGAATAGGACCAAGATATGAAGTTGCGCCCGTTTAAGAGCACACTAGTAACCCGTTGTGCCAGAGCATGTTGTGCCGAAGATAAAGTATGCTCGACCTAGGATAATGTGTCCTTTTGGCTACCCGAATCACCCATGGTACCAAAATAAGGCTGGTCCACACATAAAAGAGGGAGGACAGAGAAAAACAAGGCCAAAAAAATCTGCGCTTTCCTCCAAATATGCTTCCGAACAAACACCGGAAGGCCACAAAGGCATAAAAACACCAGAAGGACCTAAGAAAACCTAAGGGAATTCCCCTTAAAAAGGGGTCAGTGTGCACAAGCCCCTGTTGGGGTTGCCACACCAAAAGAGAGGGGTGCGGCGCAAGGGCTGGGAGGTGCGCCGGAGGTAAGGGAAAGAGGAGAGAGGGAGAGAGAAGGTGGCGGTGTTGGGGAGGCGAAGGTTTTTGTTTTGCTCTGATGAGTCTGATACCAAAAAGAAGTTTTGGGTTTTGGCTTACTCAAACCTAGAGCTAAGAGCTATATTTAAATACAAGAATATGGTTCAAAAAAACAAGAAACCAAATCAAAGAAAAACAAGAAAGATGCCAAAATCTATGCAATCCCATATTTATGAGGATCTTACATAAAACACCTAATAAAAGGCTAAAAACAGCTAATAAAATAAATAAAACAATAATAATAAAGATATTTCAATTGTTGAATACATTTAACATCTCTACAGTCATGTACTTATACTAGTGAAAATAAGATTTACAATAACATACTATGTGATAAAATCCTTCTAGTTACGCTCATTAATGAATATATTACTTCATATTCCAAAACTCCTCCTCAAGTTGGTCCATGGATGTCTCTCATGCCCAACTTGCCTACAATAGAATGGATGGAATTACAATTCAAAAACACATATGCTAGTTGTTCCTTTACTCCACGAAGGGCTTGGATATCATGCCATTATTTTACTTCTTGATGAAGTGTGGTCAATCACACTATTTTTCAATTTATCATGTTGCAATGGGTTTTGTTCAATATTGATGGCTGTTCTGTTGTCACAATAAAGTCTCATAGGTGCATCATCCCTAATACCCAAATCACTCATCAAGATCTGAACCCACATGAGTTCACATACTTTTTGAGCCATAGCCCTGTATTCTGCTTTGCATCAGACATAGCCAGTAGCCACTACTGATATTTTAGAATGAGATACATGGTCTCTAAATGAGTTGTGCTAGGATCATGCTTAAATTGACAAGTAAAATCCATTGTATATGCTTATGTCTGGATGAGTGTGAGATAGATACGTAAGTTTTCCAACCAATCTTCACTGTCATATCTTGCTATTTGTTCACCTTCATTTTTTCGAAGTATAATTCATCTCAATAGGTGAGTCTGCCGATTTACAATTTAACATGCTTGTTTCTTCTAGAAGCTGTAGAATATACTTCTAGAGACAAAGATGTCCTTATCTGATCTTGCAACCTCTATCCCGAGAAAATATCGTAAACTCCCCAGGTATTTAATCTCAACCCCTGCGCTAAGTGAACTTTCAACTTGGACACCTCCTCAGTGTCATCCTAGTCAATTGGTGTTGTATGTGAAAGAGAGATGAGAAAGTCGATGGATCATCTTCTATTCCACTGCCTCAGAGGTAGGGATGGATGGGAAATGCCTCGGATAATTGTCAATTGGTGTTGTGTGTGTAAGAGAGATGAGAAGTCGATAGATCATCTTCTATTCCACTGCCTCAGAGCTAGGAAAGGATGGGGCATGTTGTGTGACATTTTTGGGATTCACTGGGTCATGCGGCCCATGCCTCAGTCCGCATTGAGTTTGATTGATGCTTGAGGAGGTTGTTCAGTTGGACTCTAGCTATAGATGTGTGGACCGCCCCACTTTGGCTGTGGTGGGCCTTGAGGAGAGTGAAATAGGAGATCTTTTGATGATGTGGAGTCTCCTTGGGGGATGTTTAGATTTTTCTGTACTAGTTTTCTTTTCTTTTTTGTTCAGGGATCCAACTGTAAATCTAAAGAGATTCTTCTCTCTTTTGTGGATAACTTAAGGCTATAGGTTTTTTTGTGCAGTTGATTTGGGCCGCTTCCCACTTTGGCGCTCATTAGTGGATACTTGTAAAAAATATATATGGTTTGATCTACAATACTGGGCATGTACCCAAACGTGATCATGACCTAAAGAAATCAGTCAAATCACGCCCTTGTAGACATCTTCAAGCCATAAAATTCCTTTAATTTGCATACCTTCCTTTCAGTCATCCTAAAAGAGAAGCTTGATGAGATCTCCATAGAAAAAATACATAATTCACATCTAGTTGTTGAATCCTCCACCCTAAGTTGGTTGCACATGACAAAAGCACCACCCGGATGGAGTTCATCTTAGCCACTAATGCAAATGTCTGATGATAATTTGTGGCATATGTTTGAGTAAAACTTTTGGCAACCAACACCACCTTATATTTGTGGCATATGTTTGAGTACAAACTTGTAGTGATACTGCTGAGGATTTTTCTGATTGCATGCTCTAGAGTGATTTATTATTATTTATTTATATGTGGAGTCCCTAACAATTCATCTCGTTCTTTTGGTAAAATGACTGACTAGTTGCAATGTTGCAACTGTTCATGCAGGATAACAAAGATCTCTATGCAGAAGAAGCTGCTGCTCAGACAGAGATGGACCAACAGCGGATGCGTAGCATTCCAGGGCTTATTGCACCTAATGAGATACAAGATGAGATGTTGGACACATAGCTGTCTAATATTGCTATGACAGCTAATTTTGTCGTTCTTAATTCTGAAGTTCCTGCGGGTGCTTGGAATCAATTGCCACACATTCTGATGTTCTCAGATCTGTAATGTTTTTTTTTTTTTTCTTCATGTTTCCCGAATCGAATCATGGTGTTGCTGCGTCCCTGTGCAAAAGTTTAGCTCGGCTGTGGATAGTCCCTATAGGTTGGGTGTCGAGTAAGGAGCTTCTAATGTAGGAATATAGTGAGGCATTGTATGTCTTCTTGAGTTCAGGTTAGAATTGTAATTGATATGGTAGGGTGATACAAGTTGAAATAACATGTTTTGCCATCGAATATTAGAGGTGGTGTGATAAATACAACATGGGCAGGTTTTGTAGAAATTATGTTTTGTTGATAGAACATGATGTATCTTGGTATATGCTGAATGATCCCTTCTTTTTCGCTGTTTTCCTGTAATGTTGATGACTACTTTTGAACATGTAATCGGTTTTCAAAGATTTGATGGTTACTTCTGTTTGCCTTGTTAGTAATCAATGTTACAGTTGGAAGATACTCAACTGTCTTGGAAATTAATCTCAAAGGTGGAAGTTGTATTACATCCCCAATAATGATTGAAAATTGAAACATTTTACATTCTGTAATTGAAAATATTCTTTTTTTTTTTTCTTTTTATGAGAGTTATTTTGCTGCACAAGGCCGACCAAAGATGTCTAGCTAAAGTTGGGTTTTCTGTTTCTAGATTACACTTTATAATGTGAGTGAAGAACGGTAAGCGTTAGCTAGAATACCAGTCTTGTCTTGAGAGTGCTAACAGAAATGGTAAAAAAGCTAGGGCTGAAAACAGTTTGGAAGAACACAATAGATAGAGTTCTATAGAGGGAAGTTGCAAACGCATAATAACTCAAGACACGATTTTGACAAGGTTCGGCACCTACCTACGTCCTTGCCTCCAGGAGAGCTTTCCGAGGATTCTTAAACCTCACTATAACCATTTTCTTTACGGGTAGAGAAGAAACATTTTCGAGTGCCCTTTTTCCAAGGCTCAGGACTAACCCTCTCTTTTACCATGGCAAAAGGCAACGTTTGTTTCAGAAGGTCCATGACTTTCATTAGCAATAATAATTGAAGTCAAGTCTTCCTTTCTTTCTCATAAAGCTTTTTCAAAAGATTTAAATGAAGTTTCAAAAGATTTTTCTTATTTTCTCAATGTGCTCATAGATTTTCTTTCACAAAATGTATGCACATTGAGGACAATGTTGAACAAACATGTTGGCAACATATTGATATGAAGTGCGTATAGACATTGATGATGAAAAACAACACACTAGAAGGTACAAGCGATGGAAAAATATGTTTAGAGTAAGCATTTGGTTCTATTTAGTAGTATATTCATACTACACTAAATAACTAGGATGGTGTTGGTTGGGTTGACAACAATTGAGAGACAATGTGCATGGTCGGCCTAGATTGTGGATTGACATTTAAACATGTAATGGCCAGATTTATAATTGATATCAACACCTCTTCAACTCCGGTTGAGGGCGCTAAAAGGCGTTGGTCCAACACATCTTTCAGCATTATGTTGTGATCAATGGATGAAGATGATAGCCAGGTGATGAAATTGACCGGATGCTTTCCTTTGATCACTTCCAGTGTCAACACTTCAAAGCTATACACGTCGCACTTTTTAGTTACCTTCATTGTGAAAGCCAGTTCTGTAAAGAAAAAAGAAAAATATGATGATAGAAAATCGATCTGCAGTACTATATATGTAATATACATTTACCTGGTGCTACATATCCATATGTGCCAGCAAGTGTGCTCCAATTTGAGGAGTCTAGTTTCAGAAGCTTAGCAGTGCCAAAATCTGAAACACGAGCCTCATTCTCGGCGTCTAACAAAATATTGTTGCTTGATAAGTCCCTATGAACAATTGCTGGTGAGCAATCATGATGCATGTAAGACACAGCGTGAGCCACCAAACCATAAATCGTTACAATGTTCCTATGCCGTACTTCTGTCAATGCCCTTAACTCGTTCAAAAACCCTTTATGGTCGACTGTCTCGGATAATGGGTGAAGCTTCTTCACGGCCACTACATTGTTTGCTGCCAACCTTGCTTTGTAGATAGTTCCATATCCACCTTTTCCAATGCAAAATGAGGCATCAAAATCATTGGTGGCTTTTCGGATTCCGTCATAAGTTACCCTTCCTTCAAAATTAGAAATTGAAAACAAATGGTTTTCAACCTGCAAATCTCCTTGTTCAATTGGTGCTTTACCTTTTCTTTTTTCAAACTTGACAAGGAGTCCAAAGAATGCACCAAGAAGTAAAAGTGCTCCCACTAGTGGTAATACTGTAAAGACCCTAAACTGATACCATTTATAATAATAAAAAAAATAAAAATAAAAAAATTCGGTATGACCTCTGCTAAAGGGGTCCTACGACAACCTGCTTAAATGCATAAAAATGCAAATAATATATTTCAGCATCCCTTTCATCCATTCATCAGGCCTCAACATAGTACGGTGGAGCATCCACATACCATTTAATCCAAATATCGTGATTACACTCCCAACAATACATGGTTAAGATCTGAAGTCCATGTCTTACAACGTTTAGACTATAATAAAATTACAGCCCATAAATATAATTACAATAACAAGAGTTCACAAATCTCTATACCAAATATAACAAACTAAGATTTTACAAAAATTATGGGACTTAAATACAAAAATAGCAAAACAATCTTCTAATCCAATTTAGGCATGTGGTGGAACGTCATCCGCCACTTCTTTTCCGTTTCCTAAAAAAAATGTTAAATAAAAAGGGTAGGCAAAATTGCTCAGTAGGTGGTGCCTAAGACACACCTCTTGTGTCTCCGTGAATCCAAGCAAGGAATAGGACAATAGAAACCGGGGTCATACTATGTCGGGAAAGTACAACATTAAATCCAATCTCAGCATACACAATATGATGCTATGAAATGCAATGTATGCCGATGTCGCTCCCCATTTTCAACATTAAAATCCATCACTTTCAAATTGTTAATATAACTTGCCCTTTGGTGACCTCGCAGCGAAACGAGAGAAGGATTGGCTAGTGTCCTTGACCCTTAGTACTGCCGCGGCGTCATTTTGGGCCCAATTAGCTTAACCACGCTAGGGCAATCTCCCTAGTTCCCTCTAGAATATATTAACACACTGACCCTTTGGTACTCCCGCGGCGACCGGGTTTTCATAAAACATTTTAATCAAAGCTTCTTCCCCCGAATTCCCTTTTTCATTTCAAAATAATTTTCCCCATTTTCATGCCAATGACATGCATGAACATTACATACTTTCTCAAATGCCATGACAAATGAAAGACTTTTATACTATACAATTTAACATGTTTCCATTTAACGATTTCTAATAAGTTACTAACACCATAGGCATGAAAAATTAACACGTATACATCCTTTTCACATAGTAAGTTTTAACAAGTTATCAAACACACCAGCATATAAAATCAACATTTTAAGCATGTTTTTCACACAAATCCACATATACACATAATATGAATTTCATATACAAAACCAAATCATTTTAGAGGCATTCATCATAAATTAAGCATGTTTAATTATAATTAACAAAGAATAATTCTCGAGGGAGCAAGAATCTCATGGATTAGAAACCCCTACCTCACTTTTATGTAAAACCCCCAATTTTCACCTCAAACCCTCAAAATGGGTCTCAATTTTCGAACTTCCTAGAGTAACCAAAAGCTGAAATTGCTGGTATGGATTTGAAGACCTCGTCGTGGGTTTCAATTTGCTGTAAACGACACTTAAAATTACGAAGTATTAAAGATTAATCAAGCTTAAATTGAGTAAAAGAAAAAAAAGAAAAGAGAAGCAGCGGGACAAAGAGAGACGTAACAGAGAGCAAGAACTGATGGTTTCTGTAACGACCAACCCTTGGTTATTTGTGATGGCAAAAAGTGGTGGTGGGACACACACACACACACACACACACATATATATATTCATTAACATTACATTCTCCCTAACTTTAAAAGATTTTGTCCCAGAAATCAAGACATACCTGAGGAAGAAAACAGCGAACCTCCTGTTCGAGCTCCCAAGTAGCCTCCTCAACTCTGTGGTGTCTCCAAAGAACTTTCACCGTTGGTATCGTCTTGTTCCTCAACACCTTCTACTGTGTCTCAAGGATTTGAACTGGTCCCTCCTCGTAGGAAACATCCTCATTAATGTCCACATCAACCCAACTCAAAATGTGAGATGGAACCGGCTCGTACTTTTGTAACATCGATACATGGAAAACATTGTGGACCCTGTCCAACTGTGGTGGGAAAGCAAGTCCGTAGGCAACCTTTCCTACTTGGTCCAAAATCTCAAACGGTCCAATGAATCATGGCGACAACTTGCCACTTTTCCCAAATCTCATCAATCCTTTCCGTGGAAAAACCCGTAAAAAAACGCGGTGTCCCACCTCAAAGGATAACGGCCGTCTCTGCTTATCTGTATAACTCTTCTGTCGGCTCTGAGCGATAAGTAACCTCTGTCTGATCAGCTTAATCTTCTCAGTAGTCTCGAGTACTATGTCGGGTCCTAAGGCGGTGGTCTCACCCACCATAGTCCAACAAACAGGAGACATACAAGGTCTACCAAACAATGCCTCAAATGGAGCCATCTAGATACTCGCCTGATAACTGCTGTTGTAGGTAAACTCAGTAAGCGGTAGATGATCTTCCCAACTACCACCCAAGTCAAGCACACATGCCCGAAGCATATCCTCCAAGATCTAGATAGTACGCTCCGATTGGCCATCTGTCTGTGGATGGAATGTCGTACTAAGATGCAACGCTGAACCAAACACTGCTTGACGTCCTTCCCAGAACTTCGAAGTGAACTTGGCATCCCTATCTGAGACAATGGTTATTGGAACTCCATGCAACCTTACAATCTCCTTCACATAAAGTACACCAAGCTTCTCTGCATCATTTGTTGCCTTAATAGGCAAAATGTGAGCCGTCTTGGTCAACCTGTCAACGATGACCCATACAGCTTCATTGCCCCTCCGTGACCTTGGAAGACCTGTCACAAAATCCATAGCAATATGTTCCCATTTCCATTGCGCTATAGGTAATGGTCGCAACAAACCGGCTGGTCTATGATGCTCGGCTTTCATCTGCTGACAGGTAAGGCACTTAGCCACAAACTGAGCAACATCTTTCTTCATCCCGTTTCACCAATACTGACGTCTCAAATTGTGATACATCTCGGTATCACCTGGATGAACTGCAAAGCGGGAAGTGTGAAACTCACGTAAGATGTCCTCACGACAAACCGTGGGAACTACCAACAAACCCCTGAACCGTAGACCCCCATCTGCAAGCAAGGCCTAATCTTTCACTGTCTCACCATTGGACATCAAAGCATGAATGGCATCTAAATCTGGGTCCTGTCTCTGTGACTCATTCGCTCGTACAATAAGAGTAGGTTAGCCACAAGACTAAACAAGAATGCTGGCTCACTGCCAACATCATCATCAAAACAATACAATCCCATCTCTACCAAATCCTTAAGCATCTTCCACTTCCGAATAGACAAACATGCCAGAGTCCCACGAGATTTCTGGCTTAAGGCATCTGCTACCATATTTGCCTTGCCCGGATGATACTGCAAGTCAAAATTGTAGTCCTCCAAGAACTCAACCCATCTTCTCTGTCTGTTGTTCAAATCCTTTTGGGAGAAAAGGTACTTGAGACTTTTATGATCCAAGTACACCTCGAATCTCTCACCATACAAGTAATGTCTCCAACACTTCAAGGCAAATACAACTGCCGCTAACTCTAAATCATGAGTAGGGTAGTTAAGCTCGTGAGTCTTCAATTGTCGAGACCCAAAAGCCACTACTCTACCATCCTGCATCAACACACATCCCAAACCATCACGTGAAGCGTCACAATAAATCACATAACCCAAGCCACGCTCAGGTATCACCAACACTGGAGCTGTAGTCAATCTTGTCTTCAACTCCTGAAAAGATGTCTCACAGGCTTCATTCCAAACAAACTTGATCCCTTTTCGGCTCAAACGGGTCATAGGGGCTGCCAAATGGGAGAAATCTTTCACAAATCTTCGATAGTAACCCGCCAGGCCAAGGAAACTCTGGATCTCAAAAACATTTTTGGGTTGCTCCCAATTCAAAATGCTTCAACCTTTGATCTATCTACTAACACTTCACCTTCTGAAACAACATGGTATGGGCACTATGAGTTCCTTGTTATGCCTTTTGGTAAAACAACTGGCTCCTCTCAACTGATCAAACAAATCATTTATCCTTGGCAAATGATACTTGTTCTTGATGGTGGCATGATTCAACTTCCGGTAATCAATTCACAACCTCAAAGAACCATCTTTCTTCTTAACAAATAAGACCGGTGCGCCCCCACAGTGACACACTTGGTCGGATGAAACCTTTCATCCTCAAATCATCAAGCTGCCTCTTTAATTCTTCCAATTCAACTGGTGCCATACGATACGGTGCCATAGAAATCGGTGCCGTACCTAGCATTAAATTAATAGTGAACTCCACTTATCGGTGTAGCGGCAACTCTGTCAAATCCTCCGGAAACACATCCGGAAAATCACGAACAACTGTAGGATAATCTTCTTCCACAACATCATCTTCTTCGACTATAAGGCTAGCCAAGAAGTAATCCCCACGACTCCGTCCATGAATTCCATAAAACGATTAAATGTGGGAATCACTCCGATCTCCCACGAAAAAGAAACATTTTCCCTTAGGAGTGCAAATTGTGACTCTACCTCTAAAACGGTCAATCGTGGCACGAAATGAAGCTAGCCAATCCATCTCGAGAATGACATCAAAGCTAGTCATCTCTAGGAGGATAAGGTCAAACACAAAGGTCCGCCCGGCTATCACAATGGAACAATCTTGCACAACTCGGCTCAAAGACACTGAAACCCCAACTGGCGTATCAACAAACAACGCCCGATCCATGAAACTGATCTCTAACCCCGATACAAGTGCAAATGATGATGATATGAAGGAATGAGATACACCAGAGTCAAACAAAACACGGGCCTAAGAACTAAACACTGGAAATATACCTCAGAGAACTGATGGACAAGAAGATGCATCGACCTATGCAAGTGTAAAAACACATCCCTATGGTGCCTATGCCTGAGAACTGCCAACCTGAACACCTGATTGCTGCACTGACATAGTAGGAGTATCCCTCCTAACTGGCCGTGAACCCTGAGAAGATATAGCAGGCTGTGGTGGTGGCGGTGGTCTGAAACCTGACTGAACTGTAGCCGATTGTAACGGTCTCTACCCTGACCCTCTGCCACTAGTGGTGCCTGCTCCCTGACACGGACAGTCTCGAATCAAATGACCCTGCTGGCCACACCTAACAAGCTCTCGATGGCGCAGAAACTGTGGCCGAGTTCATAGGACATCTGGACTTGTAATGTCCTGGCTGCTGACACTGATAACAAACAACTGCACTCTTATCTGACCCAGCTGGCATAGGAGTGGTAGGAGCAGATCATGCAGACAGCTGCCCCTAAAACTGAGATAAACCACCCATGTTCCTCTTCCCTAAAGGTCCCTCTGAAAATGACCCTGCATTCCTCTTTTACTTCCACTATTCCCTTATTGCATCTTTATCTTCGGCCTCCGCCTCTAGCATCAATACTCTTTTAACTGCCTCAGAATAAACCTTGATACCCTGTGCTATTAACAACGACCTTATCTTGTAGTCAAGTCCGGAGATAAACTTCTGAACCTTATCAACTTCATTACTCACCATCTCTTGAGCAAAGCGAGAGAGTGGGGTAAACTTGTTCTCGTACTCTGTCACTGACATATTGCCTTGGATAAGGCAAATAAACTGATCCTATAACTCCCATCTCTTAGAGGCAGGGAAATACTTCTCATAAAACAACTCCTTGAACCTATCCCAACTCATCTCTTCAATCTTATACTGATTTGTGACCGACTTCCACCAAAACTTGGCATCCTTTGAAAACTTGTAAGTGGCTAGGATGATTTTCAAGTCATCATCTGTCACATCCATAGAAGTCAATTGAGTTTCAACTTGATCCATATAGTTATCCACTTCCATTGGATCCGTACCACCTTCGAACATCACTGGCATTAACTGAGAAAACCCTTTAATAATCTTGACACGTTTCTGTGCTGGCGTCTCCTCTACCTGAACTACCGGTTGTGGTACCGGCTGCGGTATTGGCTGCGGATGTGTAGCAATTGTAGCCCTCAAGGCTCTCTACAATAAGCGATTCAATACTTGTTCCGCCGAACTTTCACCCTCTTCAACTTGTGCTTCCACAGTATCCCTCCTTGTAGGAACAACTATTGGGGCAATCAAATCCCTAAGAAGTGTGTCCTCATCAACTGGCTCCGCCGGATTGGAGCTCGAGCTCTTTCCAACATCACCCCTTGTTGGCTTAGGGCCAACTTCCCTGGGTTCCTCACGCTGTGACATCATTCTATAAAATAAGGAAAACAGTTCAATAACGATAACACTAAGGTCCAACCATGAGCAACTCAACATAAACGTATACTATACTAACACTTAGCATGCAAGACTATGCAATGAACACATTAATATAAGCATATAAACACATAAGCACATAAACAAGTAAACAATTAACCATGTTTGTTTGTTTGTTCACATAGCAAAATACTTTACATAGCAAAATACTTTAACAATTAATCACATAAACTATGCAAATGACTTCCCATGCAGCCCTTTGTAGGCCTCTACTCGTCGTTTTAATGGTTTTCGAACCTTTGCTCTGATACCAAATTTGTAACAACCCTAAATTGATACCATTTATATAAAAAACATTCGGCATGACCTCCGCTAAAAGGGGTCCTACGACAACCTGCTTAAATGTATAAAAATACAAATAATTCATTCCAGCATCCCTTTCATCCATTCATCAGGCCTTAACATAGTTCATCTCACAGTGGAGCATCCACATACCATTTAATCCAAATATCATGATTACAGTCCCAATAATATATGGTTAAGATCTAAAGTCCATGTCTTACAACGTTTAGACTACTTATAATAAAATTACAGCCCATAAATATAATTACAATAATAAGAGTTCACAAATCTCTATACCAAATATAACAAACTAAGATTTTACAAAAATTATGGGACTTAAATACAAAAATAGCAAAACAATTTTCTAATCCAATTTAGGCCTGTGGTGGAACGTCATCTGCCACTTTTTTCCCATTTTCTGAAAAAAATGTTAAATAAAAGGGGTGAGTAAAATTGCTCAGTAGGTGGTGCCTAAGACACACCTGTTGTGTTCCCATGAATTCAAGTAAGGAATAGGACAATAGGAATCGGGGTCATACTATGTCGGGAAAGTACAACATTAAATCCAATCTCAACATACACAATATGATGCTATGAAATGCAATGCATGCCGATGTCGCTCCCCATTTTCAAAATTTAAATACATCACTTTCAAACTGTTAATATAACCCGCCCTTTGGTGACCCCGCAGTGACACGAGAAAAGGATTGGCTAGTGTCCTTGACCTTTAGTACTGCCGCGGCATCATTTTGGGCCTAGCTAGCTCAACCACGCTAGGGCAATCTCCTTAGTTCCCTCTAGGCTATATTAACACACCGGCCTTTTGGTACCCCCGTGGCGACCGGGTTTTCATAAAATATTTTAATCAAAGCTTCTTCCCTAGAATTCTCTTTTTCATTTCAAAATAATTTTCCCCATTTTCATGCCAATGACATGCATGAACATTACATACTTTCTCAAATGCCATGATAAATGAAAGACTTTTATACTATACAATTTAACATGCTTCCATTTAACAATTTCTAATAAGTTACTAACACCATAGGCATGAAAAATTAACACGTATACATGTTTTCCACATAGTAAGTTTTAACAAGTTATCAAACACACCAGCATATAAAATCAACATTTTAAGCATGTTTTTCACATAAATCCACATATACACATAATTATGAATTCCATATACAAAACCAAATCATTTTAGAGGCATTATCATAAATTAAGCATGTTTAACTATAATTAACAAAGAATAATTCCCAAGGGAGCAAGAATCTCATGGATTAGGAACCCCTACCTCACTTTTATGAAAAACCCCCAATTTTCACCTCAAACCCTCAAAATGGGTCTCAATTTTCGGACTTCCTAGAGTAGCCAAAAGCTGAAATTGCTGGTTTGGATTTGAAAATCTCGTCGTGGGCTTCAATTTGCCGTAAACGGCACTTAAAATTACTAAGTATTGAAGACTAATCAAGCTTAAATTGAGTAGAAGAAAAAAAAGAAAAGAGAAGCAGCGGGACAGAGAGAGATGTAACAGATAACAAGAACTGATTGTTTCTATAATGACCAACCCTTGGTCATTTGTGATGGCAAAAAGTGGTGGTGGGTCCCAGGCCAATAATATAACTTTTAATATATATATATATATATATATTCATTAACATTACATTATCCCCAACTTTAAAAGATTTCATCCCCGAAATCAAGACATACCTGAGGAAAAAAATAACGCTGGGTACTTGGAGCGAACCTCCTGTTCGAGCTCCCAAGTAGCTTCCTCAACTCCATGGTGTCTCCAATGAACTTTCACCATTGGTATCATCTTGTTCCTCAACACCTTCTGCTGTGTGTCAAGGATCTGAACTGGTTCCTCCTCGTAGGAAACATCCTCATTAATGTCCACATCAACCCAACTCAAAATGTGAGATGGATCTGGCTTGTACTTTCGTAACATCGATACATAGAAAACATTGTAGACCCTGTCCAACTGTGGTGGCAAAGCAAGTTTGTAGGCAACCTCTCCTACTCGGTCCAAAATCTCAAACGGTTCAATGAATAATGGCGACAACTTGTCACTTTTCCCAAATCTCATCAATCCTTTCCATGGAGAAACCCGTAGAAAAATGTGGTCTCCCACCTCAAAGGATAACGGCCATCTCCGCTTATCCGCATAACTCTTCTGTCGGCTCTGAGCTATAAGTAACCTCTGTCTGATCAACTTAATCTTCTCAGTAGTTTCGAGTACTATGTCGGGTCCTATGGCGGCGGTCTCACCCACCTCAGTCCAACAAAAAGGAGACCTACAAAGTCTACCATACAACGCCTCAAATGGAGCCATCTGGATACTCGCCTGATAACTGTTGTTGTAGACAAACTCAATAAGCTGTAGATGATCTTCCCAACTACCACCCAAGTCAAGCACACATGCCCGAAGCATATCCTCCAAGATCTAGATAGTACGCTCCGACTGGCTGTCTGTCTATGGATGGAATGCCGTACTAAGATGCAACGCTGAACCAAATGCTGCTTTAAGTCCTTTCCGGAACTACGAAGTGAACTTGGCATCCCTATCTGAGACAATGGCTACTGGAACTCCATACAACCTTACAATCTCCTTCACATAAAGTACACCAAGCTTCTCTGCATCATCTGTTGCCTTAATAGGCAAAAAGTGAGCCGTCTTGGTCAACCTGTCAATGATGACCCATATGGCTTCATTGCCCCTCGGTAACCTTGGAAGACCTGTCACAAAATCCATAACAATATGTTCCCATTTCCATTGGGCTACTGGTAATGGTTGCAACAAACCGGCTAGTCTCTGATGCTCAGCCTTCACCTGCTGACAAGTAAGGCACTTAGCCACAAACTGAGCAACATCTTTCTTTATCCCATTCCACCAATACTGACGTCTCAAATTGTGATACTTCTCGGTACCACTTGGATGAACTGCAAATCAGGAAGTGTGAAACTCCCGTAAGATGTCCTTACGACAAACCGTGGGAATCACCAACAAACCCCTGAACCGTAGACCCCTATCTGTATGTAAGGCCGAATCTTTCACTGTCTCACCACTGGAGATCAAAGTGTGAATGGCATCTAAATCTGGGTCCTGTCTTTGTGACTCAATCACTCGTACAACAAGAGTAGGTTGAGCCACAAGACTAAACAAGAATGCTGGCTTACTGTCAACATCGTCATTAAAACAATACAATCCCATCTTTGCCAAATCCTTAAGTATCTTCCACTTCCGAATAGCCAAACAGGCCAGAGTCCCACGAGATTTCCAGCTTAAGGCATTTGCTACCACATGTGCCTTGCCCGGATGATGCTGCAAGTCAAAATTGTAGTCCTCCAAGAACTCAACCCATTTTCTCTGTCTGTTGTTCAAGTCCTTTTGGGAGAAAAGGTACTTGATACTTTTATGATCCGAGTACACCTTGAATCTCTCACCATACAAGTAATGTCTCCAACACTTCAAGGCAAATACAACTGCCGCTAACTTTCAATCATGAGTAGGGTAGTTAAGCTCGTGAGTCTTCAACTGTCGAGACCCAAAAGCCACTACTCTACCATCCTGCATCAACACACATCCCAAACCATCATGTGAAGCGTCACAATAAATCATATAACCAAAGCCACGCTCAGGTATCACCAACACTGGAACTGTAGTCAATCTTATCTTCAACTCCTGAAAAGATGTCTCACAGGTTTCATTTCAGATAAACTTGATCCCTTTCCAGGTCAAATGGTTCATAGGGGCTGCCAAACAGGAGAAATCTTTCAGAAATCTTCGATAGTAACCCGCTAGGCCAAGGAAACTCCGGATCTCAAAAACATTCTTGGGTTCCTCCCAATTCAAAACTGCTTCAACCTTTGATGGATCTACTGACACTCCACCTTCTGAAACAACATGCCCCAAAAATTTCACCTCCTGTAACCGAACTCACATTTCTCATATTTGGCATACAATCAATGCTCCCGCAAAATCTATAAAACAATACTCAAATGGACCT